TTCATCACCACAAGGGGTTGCCTATTAGTGGCTGCTTTGAAGTTAGCAGCTGGGTACTGATCTTATGATGTAAATGGCTTCTGGCCCCAAAAGACAAGGATAATGACTAGACTAAGGCTAGTCTATTCTGAAGGGCAGGAAAACATTTCCAAAAGGGAGAAATAAAAAACAGTTTAGAATTTGAAAGTTGGCATCCAGGACTATAACACCATTATGCACAGTGAAAAAATAACTTGGAAGCAGGCTAACTACAGGAACAGCTTCTGATAATTCATTTAACACGACCTTCAGCCCACAGTGAGTACACAAACACGCAGTCATGCTCTGTGAATATCCACCACTGTGCAGTAAAAGTAGTTGCTACTTGACCATTGCCCAGAATTCAGGAGAATGCAAGTGAGGGAGGGTGGAGAGGGTTCCGGAAGCCCCAAATTTGGCATAAAATGTAGATCACAACAACCAACAATTACAAGAAAAAAGCAGCTTTTTCATTCGATCAAATTCCAATTAAGAGGTTAACTCGTGTTTTTATTTGACAATTAGAGGAGCATACAATTATTTATTTATGACTAGATGCTAGGGAGAGTTAGACATGAAGGATTATCAGGCTCTTTTATGCAATGAAGATTTACAATAGACATATTTAATGTTTGTAACAGCAGTTTGGCACTCTCTGTTTGACACGCATCCCATGCTTTGATTTTGCATTTTGGAGGTGTGATGTTACAGTGTGTGAACAAGTTGTAGCATGAAGCAGCAGCACCATGGGGAACAGAATGCTCTTCCTTAGCATGGATGGCCATCCCCCTAGCCCTGCAAAACATCCATGCAAGCTTAAAGCTGCATTCTGCCTGCCTGAGACTCATTCACACCAAGGAAGACGTGACGACATACCAGTCTCTGGCTGCCTTTTTTGGAAAGACACCTGCAGTACACAACCATAAGTTTTTTACTTTCCCCCCAACAACTATGCATGTGACATGATCTGGGGAAAAGTCTAGAAGAATGGCTGCCTGCCTGCTTCAGACTTCTGCTCAGTGTTCTGGATACTGTTTCAGACACTTCCCACAAGCCTAGCTCTCTGGATCTGAATGGCAGCAAAGTCTAAGGCTTAGGGTCTCCACCTTCCATTCCCACACAGCCAGGACCAGGGCCACTCCTTACAAGGAATGAGTCTACAGACTCATGGTAACAACCTAACATCCAGAGGAGAAAACCCTGTGACAGAAAAAAAAAAAGAGAGAGAGAGAGAGAGCGAGAGAATCGGCTTACAGTCAAGGGAGACAATGACATTGGATTAACCTAGAAGTGATCACGTGGCTTTAAATAATTTCTCCCCGTTTAGATTTCCTTTTCCTTGCTTCTCTTCACCAATCTACCACTTCCTGCCCACATACCTAACTCTACCTTGCTTTTAATATGTTACACTTCCTCACTTAGATTACCCTGAAAAATGTGTCCCATCCCCATTGTTTGGTGTTTACTCAGATGATATTGCAAGTAGAATGGCTTATCTGAGCAGAATCAACTAAAGAGACTTGGAAAATGCCAGAAAACAAGAGACAAGACAGGATCCACAAAGGGAAGGGCATGAAGCAGGGAGAGGACACTTCACAAAATGACGCGGGGGGTGTTGCTGTACGGGAGCACAAGAGCTGATAAAACCCCAGCCAAGATCTACAAATGAAAATAGCAAAAATATTTTAAAATCTTACAGCATATAAAATTGTATAAAATATCATACAGGCAAGAAAAAAAGGAAGAATTCTCTATAGTCTGTTTCTAGAATCCATCACTAGATGATAGGTATGGCTGTAGATTTTCAATGTAAAGTTGTATATATTAATCTTGGATTACTTTTATATCAGCACACATGTGACACATACCTATTTGAAGACAAGGATAGCAGTGTACACAGCCCCTTCCCCAGTACAGAGCACACAGAGGAGCAAAGGTAAGCAGGGTTGTGCTTCCTGAGCACCTGCTTAGAAGCCATTCCAGTCACCGGGCTCTTGTGAGCTTCTCTGTGAGTGCGTTTGCAAGCATAGACATCAGCTCTTACGAAGGATGTGCATGAGCATCTCGGAGGCAATGGCTGAAGCTGACCACTACAGAAAAGATGCCCCTGGTGACACTGACTGTGAACTGTTAACAGCCAACAATCACCCAGAAGGTAGAGGAATCCCCAGAAGAAACTGGGCAAGTGTGCCCTGGGTGAGCTGAAAGGACCCACCATTCCCACTGCTTCTGGCTCTGCAATGGCCACTTAGTTTGGGAATGAGTGTATCAAGGAAGCCTCCCACTGCTGGTGTTAACCCGCTTTCACTTGAACAAAAGCCAGAACTAATGGTAATGCATCTGTAATATGTGTGCCGATATTTTATTGAAAATGGGAAGGAGAGATGATATAAGAAGATAATTAGGACTTAATCCTTAAAGCTGACCATGAACTTCTCTGTTCAGGACCCCCAAAGACCCTCACCATTACTTCCTGTGAAAACAAGATCTTACAGGAAGCAGCTGTTGCTTATCCCTGACCATCCCAAGGAGAGCACCTTCCCCACACAAATGTCCAACAAGAACCCATTTTCTAACCTCACTAGACACATGGCTGTTAACAATTCAGCAAAATTTGCAGATGGCCTGATTACACCTGGACTCCAGGCCACCTCTGTGCCCACCAGTGTCTTTGCTTGGACATAGGGTAATGAGCCTCCTGGTTTTAGAGGAACACTGTTGCTGTTCATTACTGGTTTCTCATTATGCTCACTCTCTCAGTGATAATGAGGCCTTTAATCACAGATCGCTGTTGATCAATTACAAGTATAATTTCCCATTTGTTCAAGAATAAGAACCAATATAACATCATTATTGAAACATGATGTCCTGTAACACTGGCTTGGCTGCAGCTCGGCGCTGTGCCCACCACGCTGGCAGAGTAGATGGTGCAGTGGTTTCTCGTGCTGCATGGGTAGTATTTCCTATTTGCTCCAAGAGAGTCCAGGTTTCAACCTGGGTTCTAAACAGAATCATGAGTGTTTCAGGTAGGTCTGTACCATTGTCCTTCTTGGCTCATTATTCTCTGAAGAACTTCATTGTATTGATTTGATTTTTTGTTTTTTTTTCTCAAATTAAAGGTCACAGAAACCATTTTAATCTATTTTCATGTACTTCTTGGCTTTAACAGTTTCCCCCAAATTACCTTATGTTTTCCCTCTCATGTGGTAAGCTATTGGTGTAATTAGAGTATGTATGCCTTTATCCTGAATGCTCATCTCCTGAATGCAGCCATGTGGATGGTGAAGTTGATGAATATTGGTGAAGGAAATTTGAACTTTGCATTGAAAGGGAATGGTATGATCCTGCCTGACAGTTCTGCTTCTGCTTCTGAGTTGGCTGAGTGCCAGGCACTATGACAAACAAGTTCTGTGAGTCTCGAAGTGTGGAGGGCATCTAAGAGTTAGAATGAAGTGTCTGACTGGGAGAAAAGGTACTTCTCCAATTTCTTTTATTTGGAAAATTATGCTACACTCAGACTTTCAATTCTGGAATCTTCCCTGTTTCATTACGAGAAAAGATTTTCTACTTTTTATCCATTGGTTTCCCCACACTCAATGGGAGAACATTACAAATTGTTTCTCATTATCAAAATTTCTACTCCGACATTAACAAGAACCAGAAGAAAATATACATTCTCTCTCTATCCATCCATATACCTACCCACCCCATCTCATGTCCATCTAAGGAAATGTGATCTGTGAGATAAGGGAGAGTTCAAGCTCCCAACTCCTAGAATATGGAGCACAAAACAGTCTCCCCCCTCCCTCTCTCTCTCCACCCCCTCTTTGTCATTCTATGACAACAGTAACTTCTCATTTTAATACTTTCTAAAGGCATGACTGGAGTTGGAAAATACAATGTCTGAGAGTCTGTAAATGAGATGAATCCATAACAATAGGTTGTCTTTGGCTTTGGTGTTTAGCATGATTTTGATGATTAAGGGTATTAGTGTGAAGAATCCTATCAGCTGTTTTTCATAGTTTTTAAAAACTCCGAGAACAAAATAGCCAGTGGAAGACAGTCCATTAATGGTTTAGAGATGCATCTTTTAGTTGCTGCCATAAGTTATTAGGACTCACAGACTAGGAAAGGCAGCTACAAATAAGAAATAAAACACTGAATTCTGTAAGGATCAGTTACTCTGCCCTAAGTCTAGCCCACAGTGATACAACTTGGACACAGGCTTGTTTGGTGATGTGAAGATGCGACTCTAGTGTTGGCTCCAGTTATCATGTTACACCCAGGAACATAAAAGGCTTGTGGTTTGTTATAATACTAATGAGCAGGGTGCCAATGCTGTGTCCAGAGTTTCTCATTGTAACTTTGGTGTGCAAGGCTGTGCCGTGTGCATGAGGCAGAGCAAGATGAGTGATTGGGGCAGTGAGATAATGCTGGTGGAATAATGATGCTCTCAACTCAGAAGAAGCCATTTCAAGTAAAGTAAACCCCACAGAAAACATGCTACAGCTTTGGAAATAGTGTTTCTTCATGTGAATACTGACCTGGAATAATTATTATAGTGTGTTATCAGTCTAGGATCAGTTTATAGCACAGTGATGCATTTTTTTATGTTTTTAAACAAATTACTCTGTGTTTTTATTCAGTGTGCCTTAACACTTGAGAAATTAAAAAATAAGACTAAGTTAGCAGAACTTTTGTACCTCCTGAGTGTTCTAAGAAAAGTTTACTAGCATGAAGCTCTCCTCTTGTTCCTTTTCAACTGATTAATGGCTAACAGCAAATTTAAAACGTTTCTATCTTCATTGTTTCTAGAAAAATGGCTATATTCCTATTTCTTTTTCAAATATTGTGTAGTGTCGTTTTCTAGATTATAAAATGAAGCAGTAGGCATTCTTTATCAACGGCCCAAATGCTTCACATACAAAAATACAGAATGGATGTGAGGTAAAAGGCCCATGTTTCAAGGACATAAACGGCCATACACTTGTATGATTGTATTTAATTGGCATACAGAATCATTCTACCTTCAAGAACACAGCTTGCAAGCCAATAACCCCTGGGCTGCATACAGCTCATAAGCACATTTTTGTTTGACTGGTGCAGTGTAAGCATCTGAGTTAGATGCCAATGTGTAAAACTGGAGGTAATTTACAAATCCTGGGTACCCAGTTACCCCTGTTCTTACACAAAACAAATATAGTCCATGATACTGGGCTGTTGCCTTCTTAGGACATCATCTACCTCACCAGTCCTCATCATCTTCACTCTTCCCTCACACCAAGCCTCACCAACCCTGACCATCCTCACTGTTCCTCCACAGCCACCCTCAGCAATTGCCCAGTATACTCATTCTTCCTTACTGTCTCCTTGATATCAAAGCCCATCAGATTGCCCTGTATTATAATAATTAGATATTTCATGGCTTGTTCTAGTCATACTTTTGAGCCTTTACATTCCCAAAGTCATTTAAATCTGAATTTCATGATTTGCTGTTAGGAAAGCTGGCAGAGCAATGGAAAAGGGTCGGTGTTACAATGAGGCCAAATGTCCAACCAATAGAGAAAAGTTGTGTAAAAATCAGGTAAGTGTGTGTTCCAGGCAACAACTCTCTTCACAGCTTCTTGCTGAAGCCTACTTCTATGAGTCAAGAGGTCATAAGGACCACACACAGTCTTCTCTAACCGCTGCAGAAATACTAATAACTTACTAAAGCAGACAGAGACTATAAAATATCTGTCTTTATACTTTAATTTAGAAATGAAATCTATGATACTCATTCAAGCTCATTACCTAGCTCATCTTCTTTCTGTCATTAATTCTATATGGCACTCTTTAGAAGGGACCTAAAACTGCATAATAAAAAAAATTCATATCCAAATCACACCATGAGAGAGAAAAATTACACTTTCCTTGCACTCTACTGAATTCCATTTTCAGTTTGGCTTCAGGATAATCTATATTTATCCCCTCTCCCTGCCATATCTATTTTTCTTATTTCCTATTTGTGCTACTAATCAGCTCCTTCATGGTGTTAAAATCTTACTAAAATGAAAATTATTACTTGATGTAGCTCTCTGATTCTGGGTCCCTTATCACTTCCCTTTCTAAGAAGTTTATAAAGTAATGAAGCCAATTTATAGATACCCAAAAGAAAAGGACCAGGAAGCAGTCAACATTTCAGTGACCTCTTAGCAAGGGATGCTACCCAGCGAATACACTTAGGACCCACCAACAGCATGGTCACCAGCTAACACATTCAGATTTCTATTCAGGGATTTACAGATAATAAATTAAGCATCAAATACATATTCCTATAGGATAATCTCCTCTTAAAAAGATAAACAAGTACATATTATACAAATGGGAAAAAGCATAAGAACAAATTTTAAGCTTTAAAATAAACTGGAGAAAATGAATGTTCTCAACTGGTAAAAAGAACCAGAGATTGGCATTTCACTTTAGTTGTGATGAAAGCCAGCCTGGCTGTCATCACCATCATGAGCCAGTATGAAAGGCACCATTCTAAGTGAACAGCACTAACAAAATCAAAATGGCAGTCACCGTGTGGGGGACTTTTCCAAGTCTCATTCAGCATATCCAGGATGTCAGTTTTTCACCAGGCTCAACAGGTGCTGTGAAACCCAGATTATTAGTGATGGATTGTAAAATGGCCTTTTATATTTGCATTCTGCTGTGTGGGTGGGGCAAAACCAAAATGAAAACAAAGCAAAACAAACCTCAAGTGGAGTTTGTGTGCTCAGGGGGAAAAAAATCCCCCATAATTCTAAGACCACAAGCCAACCAACCCCCAGAGGCCCCTGGGAGGAGACAGCATGAGGGAAGGCCAAATGTGGGACTTGGTTTTGAAAGCTGTACACCTTCCCCAGACATGGGTCTTTGTGGAAGAAGGAGAATGAAGAAGCTCGGCTAAAATGGCTTGAGACACTGGCAGCCCCAGTCTATGTGAGGTCTTTTCTACTCTTCTGGATCTGAAAGAAAGAAAAAGAAAAAGAAAGGTGTCAATGCTGCCTTCCCTCCCCTCCACCCTCAGGTCTCTGGAGAAGAAAGTCTGGGGGCAAAAAGCCAAGGAGATCAATGGACCCTTTAGACTGGTTGTGGCAGAAAACCAGTTGGGAGATAGAGGAGACTCCTCTCCCCAAAACAAGATTCACTCTATTCAAAAGGACAGTCTCACAGATTAGGCCCAGACACACATACAAACATAAGGGCTGTTTAAACTGGGCCTATAGGCTTTCTGCTCAAGCAATGTGCTTAATAAGCCTCTTTCTTTTGTAACCGAGATGACAGTGACTGACAGTCCGGACTGTGTATTTCACTGGTCAGTGGGATCAGAAGAAATCAGATTACTCTAATCTTGTTTCCATGCAAAGAAAAATTTTCTCAGAATGTTTGGCTCACTTAAAGAAGTTCCTAAAGACATTTCAAACAAGACCTTGCCCAGCCCAAATCACCATGCATATGGATCCAGTATTAAATTAGTGGAAATAGACAATACTGAAATTTATTTTTTCCACTAAATGTACTCTATTCCATGTAACCTCATGGGTCCTGGAGGGAATTTGAAACAATAACACCCCCTGCAAGACTGGCTGCCGATGGTGGTTCATCAAGTCATCCTTCCCTGTGTAAAAAGTTCCCTTCTGCACAGGGCCTCATAGGAACAGCAATGAAGGGTTCCGGTCTTCAGGAAGGGTAACAGTTTCAAGTACAGAAGGCTTCAGAGGCATCTGAGGACAAGGAAAGCTTCTCCTTCAACTTTAAAGATCCTCTCCTAAATAGGACTTAGCTGAAATCAGGCTGAAAAGGAGTTAGGAGCTGGGAGAGCCCCTTCTGGTCTATTGTAATTACAGCCAATTCTCAGTTCTCCAGGGGCCATTGATCTAGACCTCCTGCTGCTCCTCTCCATTTGGGGCTGGATGCTTGCTATGTTTACCCTCCATTAGCAACTGCACCCATTTGGGAGAAATAATAGAAGAAAGAAAGCCTATAGCTACTCAGAAAGGATGGTGTTCTCTGACAAACTTGATACTTTGAGAAGAGGAAAAGTGTACCTTTTTAACATTTCCTGAGTGTGGAGCAATACTAGGCACATAGCACATACTCAGTAAGTAATTTCTTAGGTGCAAGGAAGTGAATTCAGTGAGGGTAAGGTACATTGTATGGAAAAGGTGGAATGATTAAAAACTATTAAAAACACCCTTTTGTCCTTCATGGCATGATATACAAAACATGATGTGGTATGCCAAAATTTTATATTCTCAATATAGAAGTCTCTTATGGATGGCTGTGCAACTAATCTCTGGAGAAGAGACAGCTGCCATACAGGCATCCTTGTCCTGATTTGTCAATCACAGCTGAGCCTCTCCTCACTCTAATTCCTATGTGGGCTTATGCATTTCAGATTTTTGTATTTGTTTTCAGGTTAAACTAAAATTGAGCAAACATCAGAGGACCACAGAATGTGTGAAGATGCATACCCAGAGTGGTGGGTGATGTGGTGATAGCACGTCCCTGGGCGTGCCCTGACTATTGTCAGGGGGCGGGGTCTATCTCTTAAAGAGGTAGAGCGGATCAGCATTAAAGTCTGAATGTTTCATTGAGGACAAATTATAAGAGCGGCTGAGGTACTGCACTGTATTCACAATCATTGCTTTAAATTTCACTGATTCTAAATCCATGATCAACTCTGAAGGCCACAAAAATATTGCTAAATTCACTTGCTTTAAAAGGACCAATTCATGAGCTAAAATGGAAATGAGGCCCATCTTGGGATGATTAGAGAAACTATTATGGCAAGAGCTCCCTACCTGCTCCTTGCTCTAAGTCTTCTTCCATCTGACACTGGGGAGCCTGGTTAGCTTCGAATCCTGAAGCACAAACATGCGGCACAAGAAGCCACATAAGTACATTTGCTTCATGTACTTCATGTACATTTGCTATGATATCTCAGCAACTTCACTACAGAAACTGGAGATGGATTTAAAACAGAGTATCCTTGATTATTCTGCCTTTCCCATACTTGCAGGAAAGAGGTACTCAGTGTGGCCCTTACAACCTTCCAGGTTAAAGCTCAAGTGAGTGTGATATAGCTTTTAAAATGTGTTTATCATTCATATTGTTCATGTCATCACAAAGTATTGAAAGGCAGATATCATAAGAACCCTGCCCTGGCCTTGAACAAACATAATGCACTGCAAATATTTCTTGTTCATTTTTCTTGGATTTGGTTTATTTTTTTTTTTAATGGCCTGATTCAACTACTTCTCAGACTCCAAAAAATAAACTGGCTTGGCTGAGGACAGATCAGTGCCCAAATCCTTATTTTCAAATGGAAAAATACCATGGCTGCTACCTCCATATGCAATCAACAAAAATATCAAAGCCATATAGCGAGTGACTCAAAGATCTGCAAAACATTAAACAGGAAAAGAAATGGAAAGAATAAATGAAAAACAAAACCTAATTTTAACTGTTAAATAGAATTTTTCTGGGATATAATTAAGTATATTTTAATAAGAAGAAAATACTAAAAAATATAATTATGGAGATATTTATTAGACTCTATCAAGGTGTAGATTTCACTGTTCTAGTCTCAGACAGTGTCAGCTGTTTTAAAGGGTTATTTTCAATGTATACATTTTCTCTTACAACCCCAATAAAAGTTACGATTTTAGAAGAATTATTCTAAGCTAATTCAACTGCATACATTATCAGTGTCCCACCACTGTTCAAACAAATGCTCTGATCATGTATCCTAGCAGGGTTAGTCAGACAAATGGATTGATGGATCAGTAGATGATAGAAAAAGATAAGGATGGATAGATGATAGATGAAGGTGGGACCATAACTCCTAAAAGGCTGACCTATGCCATTGTCCTGAAGGATGCCCCCATCTGGCCCCAAACACAATAAGATGCTGTAGTTTTTACTCCAGGTAGGTTCTTGGGTCTCATGATCGCCCTCACATTGTCTTTCTATTTAATCCAAGTCACACCATTGCAAATAATGATGGTGTTAAGCTCTCCTCTGCCTTTGCTGTGTTAAAACCTCCTTTGTGTAGCATGTTTTTTTTCTTGTAGGATTCAATTTGTCTTTCTGCTTTTACTCTCTGTTTTAAGTAAAGTGCCACCTCTTCAACCTCCAAGGCCCCAGCCACTCCTGCCAGGCCAGTAAGTCCTGCAGTGGTCTGTATCCACATTGGTGTGTAAGACACAATCTCTGTACAAGACAGCTTGTTCAGTCTTTGGATTTGAGAAGCCAAGAAGGTATCAGAACCATGAAGGCTACGGGGGTCCTTCAAAACAAGTCTGGGAGGCACAGACTCCTGACCTGACTCAGCCTGACTGCTCCTCCATGCTTTCCTCGAATTTACTACTTCAAGAAACCAGGGGTGATTCAGGACGACTAGAGGAAAAAGAGGACGAATCTGATGCTTTCCCGATGGTTCCAAAGCACAGAATAAAAATATAATTTATTGTCGTGATCCAATGCTTAGAAACACGTATGTCCTCACTGGCAAATCAGGGACTCTTTCCTATGAGAGCTCTAAGATAAATACCAGGCTTGAGCATTTGATGCTGGTCTTGAGAATGTGGGTATCTAACCATGACATGGCATTAAAAATATAGACAGTGGTCTATACTGTGGGTCAGTATTTATTTCAAAAGAAGCTGTTGTTTTAAAGGATTTAATCAAATCAGTAGAGTTTCTCTGTGAAGATGCACTATTACTTTTGTTTCTCTAATTATTTACATGGAACCTGACAAAATGAATTTTTTTTCTAGGCAAGAAACAAATAAATATGTAATTTTTATTACTATTGTATTGTTACATGTTCTGGACACAAATATTAATTTTTTTTAATAAAGGAAGAACATCTTTTCCATCAAAATTTTATCTTCCCACTACTGCCCACTGTCATTAAAGACCCAGAAGCTCAGATCCAAATCCACAGCTTAGGAACCTTCTTTGTTCACCAGTCACCTTTGCCTGGTAAGTTGCTTCCTCTATTACCCATCCTTCAACACACTTGTTGTCATCTCCACATCCACAAGTCTAGCTCTAGATTCAAGTCCTTCGAATCTGCTTTGTTTGCAAGCCACATTTGACTGTTAAGACAGTGCTTTCCTTTCCAGTCCTTGCCTCTGCCTGATGCCATTTCTATACACATAGACCAAGCTCTAGCCCTGTGTTTTTGGAGCCATCTTTGCCTGGTCCAATTAAACAGCTTGTCCACCACCCTTACCTGGCTTAGCTACAATTACTAGCTTCTGCACTCACCCAATCTAAGGCAGGATAAATTCTTAGCCAGATAGACAACCAAAGGAAGAAGCCCATATACCAAGTCAAATCTTAAAAACAGTATCCTTCTCATCAAAACCAGTAGACCCATAGAAGTATTCTTTAATGAGAACTATGTAAAAGAAGACCAGGGCACAGATTTTAGAAAGACAATCATAAATATCATCAAAGAATTAAAGAACTGAAAGGAGACATTAACAAATACTTTATTGAACTCCAAGAAGAAAACAATAAATACCAGAGTGATGTCCAAGATAATATAAATTTGTACTCTCACCTGAATAAAATGATGAAGATAGTTAAAGATTTGAAAACAAAATTCAGTAAAGAGATAGAAACATTGAAGGGCATACAAGCAAAATCTATAGTCCTAAATGCCTACATTAAAAAATCAGAGAAAGCACAAATAAATGAGTCAATGGTATAACACAAGAATTTGGAAAAACAAGAACAACAAAAGTCCAAATGAAGTAGATGGCAAGAAATAATAAAAATCAAAGAAGAAATTAATAAAATAGAAATGAACACAATGCAAACAATCATAAGAAATGATTCTTTGAGAAGATAAGAACAGCAATCTGTTGGCCCAATCAATCAGAAGAAAGATAGTACCCAAATTATCAGAATCAAAACTGAACAGGGAAACATTACAACAGACACCAAAGCAAGAATATTGTAAGAGAATACTTTAAAAACTTGTGCTCCAATAAGTTAGAAATTTTAAAAGAAATAGATGAATCTCTTGATTTCTCCATGCTACCAAGTTAAACCAAGATGATAACAACAACCTAAGCAGTTCCATAGCAAAGGATGAGATTGGAAAGTAATAAAAGTCTTCCAGCTAAAAAGCCTCATGTGCAGAAAAATTCACACAGCACAGTTCTACTGGACTTTCAAAGACCTACAATTGATACTTCTTAAATTATTCAAAAAACTATAAACAGAAGGAATAACCCAAAATTCATCCTATGAAGCCAGTATTACTCTAATACCTAAACAAGTAAAGACACAATTAGGAACAGACAAAGACTACACACAAATATGCCTGATGAGCAGAGATACAAAAATCCTCGATAAAATACTAACAAACTGAATGAAGATACATGTCAAGAAGATCACCCACTGTAATCAGGCTGGCTTTATCCCAGAAATGCAGGGATGGTTCAACACATATGAGTCAATAAATATAACAATCATATAAATGTATTTAAAGACAAAAACCAAAAGCTTATCTCAATAGCTGCAGAAAAAGCCTTTGAGAAAAATCATGTTTTCATGATAAGAGATCTAGAGATCTAGAGCAAATAGGCCTGAAGGAAATATAACTCAATTTAACAAAGGCTATATATTTCAAACAGACAGCCAAAAATCATCATAAATGGAGAAAAAGTTAAAGCAATCCCATTAAAATCAGGAATAGGATAGGGCTGTTCACTATCCCTACCTTTTTTTCAATATAGTGCTGGAAAGACTGGCCTTCTATGTAAATAGAAGGAAATTAAAGGATATAGAAGGAAAAGAAATTAAATTATACTTATTTGTAAATTACAGGACATTATATATAAGAGATTCATGGAATTCCACCATGAAACTTCTAGAATCAATCAAAGTTCAGATAGCATCAAAGACAGTAAAATATCTTGAGATAAACTTGAAGACATATTATAGAGCTATAGTAAAAGAAACAATATGGTACTGGCGCAAAAATAGACATGTAGGCCAATGGAACAAAATAGAAAACCCTAACATAAGTGCATAAAACTGCAGTCACCTGATACTTATAAAAAGCATCATCAACAAATGAAGCTAGGATAATTGGATGCCCACATGCCAAAAAATGAATTTGGTCCCATACTTATCACCCAGCACAAACATTATTTCCAAGTGGGTCAAAGACCTCATTTTGAAATCTGAAATGCTAAAACCAATAAAACAAAACATAGGCAAGATAATCGGTATAGGAAAGGATTTTCTGAGTAGGACTTCATTTGTTCAGAGATTAAGGCCAACAATTAACAAATGGGTAATCATAAAACCAAAAAGCTTCTATATGGCTAAGTAACAATCGATAAAATAAAGAAGAAACCCACAGAATGGAAGAGAATTTTTATCAGCTACATATCTGATAAAGGATTGAAATCCAGAATATACTAGGAACTCAGAAAAGAAAGAGGGCAGGAAACAAATGCCCCAATTACAAAATGGGTTAGGGATTGTCTTAGTTAGGGTTTCTACTGCTGTGAAGAGACACCATGACCACAGCAGCTCTTATAAAGGAAAACATTTAATTGGGTTGGTAGATGTTTAGTTTATTAATATTACGGTGTGACATGGCAAACCTGGTGCTGGAGAAGGAAATGAGAATTCTACATCTTGATCCAAAGACAACAGGAAGTGAACTGAACTAGGCATATCTTGAGCATAGGAGACCTCAATACCTGTCCCCACAGTGACACACTTCCTCCAACAAGGCCACACCCACTTCAACAAGGCCACACCTCCTAAGAGTATCACTCCCTATAAGATTATGGGGGGCAATTACATTAAAACTACTACAGGGATCTAA